TCAGATCTTCCTGAATTTCACTGTGTTCTTCATTTGTGTTCATGACAGTTGTTTCTATGGCACTTTTGATGCAAGTATGACATTCTTTCACTTTATGATTGTGCAGTTTCTTTTTGATAATTTCATTTTGTAATGCATGTGTCTGGATATTCCAGTGGTCATTGAAACAAGGTTTTGCTCAATGAAGGACAATTACAATCTGTAAAGAAAGTAAAAAATAAGGATATACAGTACAATTCCTCTAAACTGAACATCTGAGATGTTTGGTATTGAGTGTACTGTTCTGATTCAAGGAAGAAAAGGCTTCATATTTATGTCAATACAAAACTTCAGATTTGAAGATGAGTTCAAATTTAAGAAAGTCTAGATTATGCAATGTTTGGATTTGGGGAATTCTACTGTATTTTCTTTATTGATGCATTTTAAAACCATAAAGTAGTTATTGTATTTTGTCTAAACTGTCAGGCTAAATTCACTTTCATGTCAGCTGCTATTTTTAAGCATTTTCTTAAAAAATACATTAAACAAAATTCATATAAAGTAGAAAAATAAATATATATACTCATATATTCTTTGTTCTTTAAATTTCATGCTTATGTTTGTCTATAAAAAATTAAAATAAAATTTTAAAAAAGTGTCTAGTTTTACATTTTAGGAGTTTATCAGTCAATGTGACATGAACTAAATTGTTCAATAAATAGAGTAATATCTCAGTTGTTATTCCGAAAATTTGCACATCAGATCAGTTCTTTTAAATCTACTGCAAATTTTCAGGATAACAACTGAGATATTACTGTACTTATTTAGTTCATGTCACACTGACTGATAAACTCCTACAACAAAAAATTCTCAAATTGCCATATTAGTAAAAAAACGTGCTCACTTAAATTTAAAAAAAAAATTCAACTTCAGCATTGCAACTGCACACTCCAAAAGCTTATATCCATTATCAATAACACATTTAAAAAAAACTATTTTGATTTGCATTATATTTTTTCATCTTGGATGCTACCTGAATTTTACCAAAAACAAAATAATTCCCATGCCAGAAGATGACTGAATGTACAGTTGAAAGTACTTGCATATTTAAGAAAGACCTTATACAGCTTATAATTTTAAAAAACAAGGTTGGTTGGTTGTTTTGTTTTATGGCATATCAACTTTAGTAGGTCATTTAATGCCAACAAAATTTGGAAATAGATTCATAGCGATAGTTTGGTAAAAAAGGTGTGTATGTATACATATATATTTGAACCATTTTTCAATTACTCATATTTTTGAGTACAATCCAACTTCTTTTAGAAAATTTACAATCTTGGATGGTTTTATTTTTTTAAAATGTCTTTTTAAATTACTCACTTGGTTTGGTTTTGGTTTGATTTGTTTTAAGGCATATCAACCTCAATGGGTTATTTAATGCTGACAAAATTTTTATGGCTAGTAATATTTTTTTTCTTTTTAAAAATGTATTGCTGGTAACATTATTTTTTTACAAAGTATTTCTGGTATTAAAACCTATTTTCACTTTCGTAGTATTTTGACCCAAGTTTGGGTGCTATTTGCCCATAGCTGGGACCCTAACAGATGCTACCACCCCGGGTGAGGGTGGACCTGGAAACACCAGTAATTAAGAGGTGGTTCCACACTCCTCAAAACCTCCTGAACAGAGGCCTTGCTGTTGGACATCATACCCAGGACGGTTTAAAAAACCAGTATCATAACATTCGAGTGATTGGTAGGTTAATGCATCTTTAAAATTTTGTTGGCAAAGGGATTTCAACATTTTATATCATTAATGTTACTAATTTACTTTTTGTATGAATTATTCATTGTAATATAAATTGAACTGCACCACATATTTTATATATACATACACACACACATATATGTATATATTTATAAAAAAAATTTATGTATAAAAACTACATTATGTAACAGAAATAACAGGCAAGCAAGCTGGCTGAATATGAATCACAATGAGCGAAAGATTGAAAGTCAAGTAAGGCTGGAAAAGTGATACATTAATTAACACTTTGGAGTAGGCTAAAATGTACCCTTTCACCTCAGTGCTCTTCAGGCCTCACAACTATGGTACCTAAATTTGTCTCTTACTCTTATCAGATAAATTGACTCATCTTCCATAGCAGGAATCTTATCAACCAAGGGGAGATAACCTATATTTTTCATAATTTTCCAACCACTCTTTCTCCCAATGTCTCATAAATTTCATCTCTCTCTGATTCTAAATATGAGTGTTCTTTTTGTTTACATTTTAACTTAAAATTTCCTTGTTGCTCAGTTATGATCATTATTAATTCCAAGAAAAAAAAATGCTTTAGAATTTTTAATGAATTCTGAATTCAGGTTGAATACATCCTTTAATATCATCTTTTTATTAAATTTTTTGGTTGTAAGGTTAGACCAATTGAGTTTAGAGTTAAAAATTTCAGGATAAAAATTTAGTCAATTTATATACATTAACTTTATAAAGTTGAAGTAAATATACTTGAAAAAATAATTTTCTAGGTGAACTTTGGTTTTACTTAATACAAATCAAAAATTAAAAAAAAAAGAATTACAATTTTGTGGATAATAATGCTTTTTAAGTGTAAATAATTAGCATAACAGCTTTCTAGTTTGTTGGAAACTACTGTAGTTCCTGTCTAAGAACTCTGGTGAACCTTTTGATCTCTTGAATTATCCTATTATCTTGTTGACAAAGTACTAGAGGCTCTAATCAACTCTGAATTGGTTAAGCATCTCACTTCACATGGCCTTCTTTTAGATGAACAATGTCTCTTTCATTTCTCTAAACTGCTAATGTGTCAATGGTTATTACTGAATTTATCTATCAGGCTTTAGATAAAAATGGCAAGGCTTAGGCTGTGGATTTAGATATCTCAAGCCAGGGTCCAGCATGTTGACTTTCTTCATAAGTTCAAAGGCTATGGTGCCTCTGGCTAAATATTTAACTTACTCCAACCATTCTTAAGAAATCATGTAATGAAGGTCATGTTGTAGCCACACTTCTAGATCATTTCATATTAATGCAGGGTCCTCCAGAACTATCCTTGGACCTACATTGTTTCTTAGCTTCATTAACAATCTTCCTGTCATCATTTCTAAACTAGGTATTTATGCTGATGACACAACTGTTTATATCTGACTAGTAAATCCAATAGGTCCAGCAAAGTAAAACTGACAGCTGCTCTTGAAAATGACCTCCAATCAGTTGTTAACTGGAGCAAAGAATGATTTGTAAATTTTAACACCTCCAAAATGAAACTGCTATCTTTTAATCATCATAAAGAATTATTTTTGCCTCCTATCAGCATGGCTGATGCTAACTTCCAGGAAAGCAACACATTGCATTTTCTTGATCTCACATTTTCCACTAACATGATGTGGAGTGAATATACTGAATCAATTGCTAGTTCTGTTGCTAGGAATGTTGGTTCACTGTGTTGAGCGAGGCAGCTTTTTTTATATCATAATTCATCTTGCACATTTATAAATCCATGCATTGAATATTGCTGCCATATGCTGATGATCTGGTGGTTTTGCTAGATATCTTGAGATTCTTGACAAAATTCAAAGAATGATCTGTAATGTTATTAGTCCTGACCTGTCATCTCAACTTCAGTCACTTTCCCTCTGCAGTGATGTGGCTTCCCTCTGTCTTTTCTATAAATATTTTCATGGCAGTAATTCTAATGAGCTTTCCTTCTTGGTATCTTGATCACATGAATTTAAGCATACTACTATATTGGCAACTAGGTGTCATTGTTTTACTGATTCTAATAGTTTCTTTTCTTGCCTGTGGAACTCTCTTCTGGTTTTTTGCTTCCATGTCGCCTACAATCTTCAGAAATTTAAATGCAACGTCAATAGTTATCTCCTCTCTTCCTGAATCCTCTTCTTTTATTATCTTTTCTCCTCACTAAAGTCTTCTCATTCTCTTTCATCACCAGCAACACCTTGTGTCTTAGTGGCATTATTGCCTTGCTTGGGGTGAAATGATAAAAAAACATTTTCAGAATAGACAAATATCAATATCCTGTAAAAGTCTTTAATTCAAGCTTATACAATAAAAATCTATAACATTAATAATTTTTAGTTACCTTTACATTAGGTTTAAAGTAGGATAAAGTCAGTTGTAAACTCTTGGCCATTGCTGATGAAAACACATTGCTAATGGTAGTAACTATGTGCAAAAACAGTGTTATTTCACTCCCTATATATATTGTTGCTTTTGTAATAATAAATACTAGCCTTTACATTTGGAGCATTTCTCAGTTTTTTTTATTCTGTCCAGAGATATTAATCATAGGAACAGTCACAATGATACTTTAAAACAATTTTGCATTATAACAAAGGAAAGTCAAAAGCAATTCACAGCTGTTCAAAAAATATTTATTACTTAAATTAAGAAATAAAACTAATTATAATGAAAATTAATTTGTAGTGGACAAAAAAAACGATTGGTCAAAAAATGTTTTTCCTCCACTCATTTTTCTCGCCGCAAACATTTATCTCAAGTAGATGCAAATTTTAGCTTACAACTACATCAGCACTGTACATCATCGACAACTGTCGTAGACATATAAATAGCACAGAAATTTTCTGTTCAAGAGGGAGAAATCTGCCAGCAACCGAACTTCATGTCGACAGATAGAAGGAAAGCAGTCACTTATACCTTTTTTCCACTCACAGTGGAAAATGAGTGGACAAAAAAAACATTTTCCGACCAATTGTTTTTTATGTCCACTACAAATTCCTGTCAAAGCAGTTTAATCCTCTAGAATATTCAAAATCATTTCAAGAGAGATAAATTGGATAGTATCTGTATATATCACTAGTTATTTTATTTACACTTTTAGGATATTTCTTCATAAACTATGAAACATTAAACATGGCTAATTAGTTTTGCTTTTGTACCATACAAACATTAGTGAATAGTACTAAGTAAAATGTACTACAGATTTATTTCAGCATTTCAATCATTTATACGCAAGTAATCCACTATCAGGTGCTGGTTGTGCAATCAGATGTTGGATTTCTTTAAACTTAGGATGGGCAGCATCTTGGCAGAGACCTAGCAGAGCACTTTCACTTGTCGTCAAAAAGGCACCAGCTTCTTTCATTCGGTCAAATGCATACATTCTGGAAAATAAAAAAAATATATATATCTCTATCTATGCATACATACATATATAACTTCAAAGATTAATTTCAGCGGATACACATATTTAAGTAGATGCCCTGTTTTTAAACTGTTTATTATGATTACTTATGTTTATTACATCTAAAAAATGTGGCCTTGATGTGCATTCCTTAAAAGGGAAAATAGAGACCTTGCTGGGCTATGATGCTCTCTGTGGGCGAGTGATCTAAAACATGCTGAATCAGATAGTGGTTTCTCCTACATAGGAGGACGTGGATTCACACCCTACCAGAGGGCAGATTTTTCTGATTAAGCTTTCTCAAGTATGGAGACCAGTAGACATAATCAAAGTAAATTAATCCTTCTGTCAGTATGGTTGATACTAACCTCCAGGAAAGTGACTCACTGCATGTTCTCAGCTGACATGAAGTGGAAAGACAATATCGAATCCATTGCTAGATCAGCTCCTAAGAAAGTTAATTCACAGTGTCGTGCAAGACAATTTTTCCCTTCAGAAACTATCTAACATTCACTCATGCTTAGAATATTATGTGAAAATTGGTTGGATGCACACACAGGAAAAAAAGGGAAAAAACTATATGCAAGTCACATATGGTTGAGTGCACCTGCTATTTATCTAGAGCTCCTTGATAAAATTATTGGTCCTGATCTGGCATCTTGGATTCAGTCACTTTTCCACCACTGTAAAGTTGCCACCCTGTGCCTTTTTTATAAATATTTTCATGGTAATTTTATGGATGAGCACTTTACGGTGATGCCTAGACTTTTTTTAAGTGCAGTACAATACTGGAGTTGAGATGTCATCAACTTACAGTTGAGTTTACTAGATGTTACTGTAAATTCTATGCTGACAGTTTCTTTTTTAGCACATCTCACTTGTGGAACTCCTTTTCAGCTCCATGTTCTCCAGTAAACTTTAATCTTCAAAATACAATGTCAATTGCTATCTACTGTCCTCCTGATTATTCTGTTGTTCTTGCTTCTTAGTAATGTTTCTGTTTCTATTCTTCCACACCCAGTAACTCCTTGTGTCTTAGTGGCTTTACTGCCTTACTTGGAGTGAACTTGATAAAAAAAAAAAAGAAAAAAGGATAATGGTTCAGTACTGTAAAGGATAAAATTCAAAATTTTAGAACAAAATTGCAGTATTTAAGTGAAGATAGATTGATAAAGAAAAATAAATGTATAATAAAGCTGCATTTTAAAGAAAATTTGGAGTTTTAATTCTTGTTTGCTTTGGTCAATCGACTAACCAATAATTTTAAGGGATATTATAGCACAAAACAAATGTTGGTTTTTGAAATTCAATTACAAAATGAAACCAGACTTAGTAACTGTTTTCAGGTAAGAAAATCATAATCCATTAATATGAATTTGCTTAGCAATCACATCTTAATCCCAGCAATTTATATTTTTTGATTGGGTGATTAAGGCACTATAAATAATAGAAACACCACAGAAATTTGGGAACATAAAAATGCAGGTTGCTGAAACAATTAAAAAAGATTATAATCACACAAATTTAGGATTCTTAACCCATCATAAGCTTTAAATTTATTTCATTAAACAAAAGCTGGTATACATACAGGGTGGTCCGAAAGTCTTGTCACTTCCTACCAAAAACTGAGAACAATAGAACAAGTAATACAGTGTAACCCGGATATAAGAGAGTTGTCGGGACCGGAGAAGAAGTCTCTTATATCCGGGTTTAACCCGGATATAAGACACAGGTAATTTGGGGACCGGAGAAGAAGTCTCTTATATCCGGGTTTCTCTTATATCCGGGTTTGGTCTGTTTTATATACATTAAGACAGGCTCTAATTTGGGACCAGAGAAAATCTCTTATATCCGGGTTTCTCTTATATCCAGAGAAGAAGGTCTTATACATACATTAACACAGGCTCTAATTTGGGACCAGAGAAAACATCCGGATTTCTCTTATAACATGCACTGGATTCAGTTTATTCACTTTGATTGATGCCGTCACACAACGAGAAAGTCTGTATCAACACCATCGTTTTTGTAGCATGCCCTGTGATATTTTACGAAGATGTGCTTTGTTGATTGTTCAAAGCACTCTGAATGGCCTCCTTCAAATGATGGGTATTCTGGTATTGTTCATGTTAGAATCTCTCCTTGATCCCCACAGAGTATTGAAATAGAAAATTATATTATGTAGAGGTGACAAGACTTTCGGTATAATCTGTACATGAGGTATTTTGTACTTACTTTCATAATATCGAGTCAGAAATGTAGTGCTGCTATTTGCTTTATTTTACCATCTTGATTTTTTCAATACATCCAAGAGATACAATTGATGAAAATTAAAGAGTTCCTATTACATACCTCTTACCAAATAAGAATAAAAAGTCTATGCTTTATAAACTCAAAGTCATAATTAGAGTAATTCTGATAATGTGGAATCAAATAGGATAAAGGAAAATATAAAGAAATAAATAATGTTATTAGAATATAGAAAATAAAAAAAACAAAGTCAATATTTTCAAGTTATAGTCATTATGTTTGAAAATAAAGTTATTGTCTATTTTCCTTCTCTGTGGAAATAAAAAAAAAATTGGTTTAAGAAAAATGTATTTTTTTTTTATATTAATATTATTTGTTTATTTATTTGTACATGACAAAAGCATTAAATTTTGTTTGGGGCTTTCTTGTTCTCATAGGGTAGTTTGATGGTGTTGGTGTTTGGTCTACTATTTTGTCAGTCTGTGCCTGCAACTGTATGGATTGGATATGTTGACTTGTAGTAGAGGAGTATTCATGTTTGTTGCAGAGTCATTGTTCATATGTGATAATGTTGGAACATTTTGCCTGATCCCTTGAGCTGGCAAGCTGAAAGTGACTCCAATCTGTGGTCTGTATACTTCCTGTAAGTGTTGTTTGCTTGTGTCTAAAAAGTCTTCCATTGCTGTGCATTTTGACAATGTAAATATGTAGTTCTGTGCATTTATCTACAACTGTTACTGGTTGCCATGGACGATTTTCTTGAAGAACAGACTCTCTGCTGCCTATAACCAATTCAGGAAGATCTTTTACATTTCTATTGAAATACTGCTGCTATATGCTTTATTTTCAACATCTTGGCTTTTTCAATACATCCAAGCGACACAATTCATGAACATTAAGAGTTTCTATTGCTATATATATATATATATATATATATATATAGTGCAATGGATAAATTGTCATCTAAAGTAGAGAAAAATAACACTGACGTCTCATTTTAACAGCTATATTAATCAAAATTACACAAAATATCCTGAAATACTAAAGAGTAAGTTTATTTAATAGAATCGCCATTGGCTTCAACCATGGCCTCCAGACAACTTCTGAATGTCTTGCGACACTTCTGAATGATCTCTTAGTCTAAGGTGAATGCTGCCATAATGCTTGCCTTCAGTTCATCTTTGGTCTCACTCAACTGCACCCCACACATAACATTCAAGGGTGTTGCAGTCTGAGGAGTTAGATGACGAGATGCAAGGGGTAATGTGGTCACAGAAATTGTTTGATAGCCACGACTAGGTTCTCCTGCTTGTGTGGCATGGTGCAGAGTCTTGCTGCCAGCAGCCACCCTCTTGACCCAGGGTAGCACTACCTCTTCAAGGCACTTGATGTAGGCCTCCAAGAGACCCTCACCAACAAATTTGTGTTGTTTTTATATCATTGAGTTTTCCAAGCTTCTGTATCATCATAATCACCATTAGACTCATTCAACTTTTTCAAAATCCTGTCCTCAGATTGACACTCAAACACTGAAATATTTGTATTGGAGCTCCTGGTGCAAATGCTCAGCAGAACAACCTGGTGTTTCCAAATTTCTGGAGGAGTGAATTAGTTCATGGTGCTCTTTTTCTCACAGATGGTGCTCAACTGACTCTACTATAGTGTGCAATTGACAAAATCAAAAACAAACAATGCACATGCATGAAATTAAAAATATAAAATGGCGACAATTTAGCCATCATACCCTCTGTGTGTGTGGCTTTATATATATATATATATATATATATATATATAAATTATTTATTCGAAAATTATATATGTTATAATTTTTCGAATAAATAATTATATTTGCTCTACTCTGTATTGAGCACTCTTTTAAGAATAGTATTTGTTGGTTATTGAAATTTATTCCGTATACACCAATCCTATACTTTTGTGTGTGTATATATATATATATATATATATATATATATATACACACACACACACACGCACACACAGAGTTGTGTATGTGAGCTGCAACCTTTCTTTAATCAATGTTTTGTTAAGCAAGACTGACAATGTACATTTGTTAAGTTTTATATTAGACTGTCTACAATAGCACTTACACACCATTTAATGTAGTAGTGTAACTAAAATCCTTGTAAATGGATTATCCAAAAATGCTTGAACATCTATCAACAAATATTTCAACAATTTCTACACTCATTAGGTTCAGAAAGGGAAAAATATAAGAAAAAATTTAAACTTATCAGTCTTGTCAAATATATATCAGTTATTTAAGCAGTTATTAAATCATTCAGTGTAACTAGGCAGGATTTGTAAAACTAAGAATTTTACTGATGAAGTTTGTCAACATATGATTGAAACTACACTATAAAAGACAAAGATTTCTTCCAAAAATTCTGGTATCTTGGTTCTGCTGGAGAATCTTCCCCAGCAAATGTCAAATAATTCTACACTAATAAATAAAGTATATTGTTGATTACTTTTCAAACAGTAAATCTATTTTCAGACACTTTTACTAATTCTACTGAAACATGCTTTCTACACTCATATTCAGGTCAATAACTTGTAAATGGTTGCTATGGTAACACTGCATAATTACATTAAACACTTAGCTTAATGCTCTGGGATAACACTGAGTTCAATTTCTCCTAATGAAGGAAATTATCTTGCTGATAGGTATTATCAAAATAAGAAAAAATTAACAATATAGAAAATAGCACTTCAAGCTTTTTTTGGCAAATCCTTGCGAGACCAAAATTTTAGTAACAAGTGAAAATTGATATAAGGGTTATGTTTAATCACTCTTTGAACAAATAATCAAAACATATTCTTTGAAACAAATCTGTGTATATCAGTTATACACTTACTTAGAAGTATAAAAATCAGCAAATTCTCTGTCACGGGAAATAATTAATATAGTAAAAAGAAATTAGAAATTTACCTAAAGTACAGAAAAAAATATTCTTATTTTGTTACATTAAGAGCAGCATGTATTCGCTATATAAGGAAAGGGAAAAATGCATTGAAAGCATAACTGACCTGTCAACCATTGTACGAGATGAACATCCATCAACAATAACATGTACCTGGTAGTCTTTTTCCAAAAGGTCAAGAACTGTTTGCTGGATACATGCTTGGGTCTCAATACCACACAGCAAAATAGTTTTCTTATCTGGAAAAGAAAACAATATATATCAGTAAGGTTATTGTAACTTTCATCATTAACATTTTCTACTCTGTATTTAATCCGAAGAGAACTGATTTTTATGTAACCATGGTGGATTTATTTTTCACAAAACGTTACCAAAGTGATCAAAGATTTCCATACAAAATGTTATGAAAAAAAAAAAAAAAGGCTTCCTGCCAAAGTTGACAATCAGTGTAACAAGTTTTTACAGTTATTACTGCCTATGGTTGTAGTTATGGGAGAGTGGTCTGCCAAAGTTCCTCCCTCATACTGTCACCCTAACATGCCAGAGACAAAACAATTTTTGTCAAGATATCTGGTGATGAGACAAATGCACTGATGTAGATTCATACTTTTCTCAAGTGCTAAGTAAACGTAAGAATCTTTAAGACAGATTTGAACTTGGTTTACCAGTTCCATTTTCTATACTGATAATCATGACGCTATCTTGCAAAATAAAAACCTCTCAATTTGATTATCAAATTTATCAACTCACCTATTTTCTCCTTTAATTGATTTTCAACATCTGGAATAACCATTGAAAATCGTGTTTTTGGGCAAACTTTTATTCCAGTGACATCTAACTCAGGAACTGTGTGTCCAAGTCCTATAAAAGAAAGATTAAGTCCAATAATAAATAATTTTTTAAATTTTGTTAAATACATGAATACTGAATGATTTGAAAAAAGTATTATTAGATATGTGAAAAGAAATAGGCCATGTTTCTAATTTGCATGAAATAAATTTTAGTCCAATCAAATCATTTTTTTTTCCTATTTCTTAAAAACATTATGTTTAAATAATAAAAAAGCTTTTAATAATGTTCAATTATCAATTGGAAAATATATCAGGTCATCCCATAAGTTCTGTCCGAATTTTGAATAAAGAAAACAAGTGACCAAATGTTACATTTAATTACAGATTCAATCAACAATGTATTTTCCCTGATTATCTATGACTTCCTTCCATCTATTAACAAGCTTACTAATGCCATTACTGTAAAATTCTTTCAGCTTTGATCCGAAGAACTCACAAATGTCAGTTTTAACCTCTTCCTGTGTCACAAAAGCTGTTTCTTCCAAATGATTCTGTAAGCTACGAAACAAATGATAGTCTGAAGGAGCAAGATCAGAAGAATAAGGTGGATGAGGAATTTTTTCCCAACCAAGTTCTTCAATCTTTTGTGACGTGACTCTTGATCATGCATTGTCCTGATGAAGCATCACCCCTTTTCGATTCACTAGAGCAGGTCTTTTTTTCCTCAAAGCTTGGTTCAAACACTCTAATTGCTCACAGTATATTTGAGCATTAATTGTTGCATTAGGTGGTAAAAATTCAAAGTGGATTATTCCTTGGCGATCCCACCAGATTGAAAGAAGAACCTTTTGCCTATGAAGTTCCCTTCTCGGCTGTGGCTGGGGTCCTTCCCCTTTACCAAGCCACTGTCTACGATGCTTAACATTTCAATAAAAGATCCATTTTTCGTTGCCAGTCACAAGTCTATCCAAAAAAGGTGAAACAAGTTGGTGAGAATAGAGAGAAGAGCAGATGTCAACTCGGGATTTGAGGTTGTTTTCAGACAATTCATGAGTCACCCATTTTCCAAGTTTAGGACCTTTTCCAAGTTGTTGAAGATGACGATGAACAGTTATATGGTTTGAACTGAGAACCACTGCCAATTTCTCAACTGACAAAGCAGGATTTTCTTCAAGGGCTGCTTCAAGAAGCTTTTCATCAAACTTAACTGGACGTCCGGTTCGATCTTCATCTTCAAAAGGTGAAATCTCCACCTCTGAATTTTGCAAACCATCTTCTGCAAGTTCTTTCATTCACACATTCCTCTCCATAAACTGAGTGAATGTTTCTAGCTGCTTCGGCTGCTGAGTTTCCTTTCTTGAACTCATAAAGCATTATGTGCCTCAAATGATTCTTGGGTACTTCCATGTTAGCAGGGTTTTAATCAAACAAAATTTAATTTTATTGTTCTCTGAAATAAAATTTGATCAGTTTAAATGCATCTAAACATAAAAATAATGTTCAGCTCCATTAGACATTATAAAATACTCTTTAAATTTTATTCATTTTAACAAAAAGTTAAAATTCGGACAGGACTTATGGGATGACCTGATAGAAACATATCTCAGCAAAGCACATAACAATAAATGCAAGACAACTTTATTTTTTAACTTTCTGACAGTATATCGCAGTATAAGATGCAGCTTTTAAAAAAAAAAAAAAGAAAGAATTGGGTAATCCATTTTGAATTTTGGCTGAAGCTGGTTATATTTGCTTTTGTCAAGCATAAATCCATTATTGTGGCTAGCAGGTATCAAATTGTACTGAGAGAGGAGACTATGAGATTTGCATTCTGAGATATCAGGCCCTATCTCACAATGGCACCAACCAACAATATACAATTGCAAATCAGTAATCTTTTAAAAACAATAGTAAGAATTACTGGACAGAACAGAAATTTTGTACATGTTTTTTAAATCCCAAGTGTGCAATAAACATATTGAAATCCTGCTTAATGGTTACTGAAAATTAAAACATTACTTCAACAGATACTGGATGAATTAATTATATGCCATAACAATATTAGTGTTACTTGCCCTATTTTAATTTGCTATGACTTCATAGTACAGTTATGATTGGTAGAGGATATATCTTATGACAACATCCCTTCTCACCATTGATCTATTGGCCCTGCATAAGGATTAAAAGAAAATGCACAAAGTGTTAATGTATACAAAATAATTTTTATATAACAATATATATATATGGAACGATAAAGTGATAAGTTCGAAGTTTGAGAATTCAAATTTAAATATTCTGATGCATATGAGAGATAGAGAGAATCTGTAAGAAAGTATTTGCAGAAGTCCTAATGGAAAAAAAAAGGTGTTTTTTCTTAAATAGATAATTCTAATCTTGTCCTGTCAGGCTTGCTCCACTTTGGCTCAAAAGTGGTTTACCTGATGGGGAAAAAAGGGATACCAGTTTGATTCCTGTCAGAGACACAATTTTTCTTGGTGGTAGTGGTATGTGTTTCTATCTCCATTTTACAACTATTTGATATTTTCTAAGTTTGTTTCACTTGTTTAGGTCTTTCTATAAAAGGCTTTAAAAACTAATGACAGATACTTGAGTATGTACATCATTTATTTTGATCAGATATTTATTTATTTGCTAAAGCACTTCAAAGGGACCTGTATAGAACACTTCAAGAGTGCTCTATACACTCCTATTTATTCTAAGCCATACTTTTCCGCATGTACTTAATTGTCCTGGGATGTAGGTTTTATTATTGTTAGGATAGTAATTACAGGTATTGGTTAAATCTTGCTGTGATATGCTCCTTTGTAATTCTTTTGTGAAATTCTGGGTAGTATCTGTAACATTTGTACTATGAGCAATTGTAGTATTAATATTTATGTCCTAGCAACAGCATAAAAGGGTGTGGTGTTTGTAGAGTTAGGCATATTACGAATACCTAGTAAAAACTCTGTTACAGTTGACAGCCTTTTCTTGCCATAATTGCAGTTTTAATGGTCCTGTGTGATTGTTCAACCAAACTGTTAGTCTGAGAATGGCAGGCAGTAGTTTTTTACCTACAAAACACAAGTAGTTTTACTATCTCCACAAATAACTCACTTTCAAATTACCTACTGATATTGGTAAAGTAAGATATCCTTTTGTGTTATCCACACGTTAACAAAAGCTTGAGCTACATTTTTAGATGCAATCTCTGCCATAAGTTCTGCTCCTATCCATTTAGTAGTGAGATCAATATATTTAATAGGTGTTTATATGGATTATTGTAGGGATAATTAATATTTTAACTGGAAGGAGTAGTCTAACAATATCAATATGAATTGTGTAGAATCTATCTCATGGGCTCTCTATAGGTTGAAAAGGTGTTCTAGCATATCTATTAATTTTAACTTTCTGACATGCTTCACATTCAGAACAGGATTTTTTTTATTGTCTTATCCATCTCAGGCCCAAATTATCAGGTTTTGATCATTTTTGTAGATGCCCTGATTCCAGGATGTGCTATAGCATGTATACTATTTAATATAGATTTATGTAATGAACTAGAGGTAAATGGTCTTGGGTATGATGCAGAGGCATTACATAGCGCAAATTGTTTTTCATTAGCAAGGTTACATTTTTTTTAGATTTTGAAAGGTGTGGATTTCTGTATCTACTGCTTGTACTAGTACTGGTATGTCACAGAGGTTGACTTTCACTGTCAAAGTGGGTCATGACAAACAATCAGCAACTATATTGTGCTTTCCTTTTATATGTTTAAGGTTGGAGATATATTCAGTTAACAGGGTTAACTGGTATTGTTGCTTATCAGACTAGGCTGGGTTGAGGCTGTAAAAAGGTGCTGCACAGAGATTTATAATCAGTCAGTATAGCACTTACGTTCTATAAGGTGGTGAAAATGCAATATCAACAAATATGCAGCAAGTAATTCTCAATTGAATGTTGAATATTTTATCTGTGTTTGTGAAAGTTTTTTAAGAAAAGTCCTATGGGTATATTACTACTGTTTATTAATTGTTGTAGTGCTGCACCTATTGTGTATTTACTGCTATTGGCAACCATAAGTGTTTTAATAATATTATTGAATGCTTGTATTTTATTTAGTGTAACTGAACCTGTTGGAGTATTCCTCATTTTTTCTATTATCAAATTGGTAACACTAGCTTCTTTTATTGTAATGGTAACACTAGCTCTGCAAATTTTGGGATTAATTTTATATAAAATTTATCATTGTTAAAAATCTACATAAACTTTTAAATTTAACATCAATTCATAGTGGGAAAGATTGTAGATTACTGATTTTTTGTTGTTGTTGTTGGGGCTGTGAGTTAAAATGAACATAAAACTAGAAGACAGTATAGGTTATAATACATGCGTTATGTATAAACAAACATGGAAGTCTTTTTAGGAGTCTTTCGCCTAATGAGAAAAGGGAATATTTAGGTGTCTTTTTGCAATACTGACTAGTATCAGACAAGGGTAGGAATGACCTAAAGAGAGGTGATAATTTAATTTACAACAGTTGGTTTAACACCATCTGCACTTTTAACCTAGAAAGTCTAGGAACTCAACATTAAATTCACATTTAGAAACTGACACTTTAAAGTAATTTTTACTTAAAATGTTGAAAACAGAATCGATATCTTGCATGTGTGATTGTTTATTTTTACTGTCATTTGGTAGCATATGAAGTGGGCTGGCCTGAGATTTACTGACATGACCCCTCACTGAGTCAGGTTGTGACACAAAGTCGTTTTTTTTTAATGTGGGGACCCGAGTGTTTGTACCTGGGCCACTGGTCTAAGCTTGTCAAAGATGGTCGTAGCTTGTCTAAGATGGTTAGAGCTGGTCTAAGCTAGACATAGCTGGTCATACCACCACTATGTAACAGATATCACACAATGGTGGGGGGAACACAAGGGAGGAGAGAAGGTCTCCATCATGGAACAGGTACTACATCTGCAAGAACCATCTCGACGGGATGGTTCTTGCAGATGTAATACCTGTTCCATGATGGAGGCCTTCTGAAAGGACCCAGGCGGGGCAGAGCCCTGAAGTGGACTGGCCCACACACTGTTTGATGGCAATATTATTCCACTCTTTTGTAGTTTTTGAAATTCTGCTTGTGCCATGCTAGGTTTGTCCTCTGTGGGCTTTCTTGGTTTACCAAAAACTGGGGTATGGCTGCTTGCCTCATTATGGTGATACACCATATGTGTTGTTGTTATTTGAATGTCTATGAGAAAACAATCTCTGGATATTTATCATTTTTTTTTTATTTGAAAATATTCTTCTTAAACGATTGATTATATAAGGTTAAAGAAAATTCATTTTCAAAGATAAATTTTTGTCTGATGACTGAAATTCTGGTCGTTTGTATTTCTTTATTTATTATTTTTTTACTGGTTTGTGCAGGAGTAGAATTTTTAACCTCACAGGTTAGCGTGCATAAATAAAACTTTATTTTCATTGTTTTAAGTAGGTAAACAAAAAATTAAGGTAGAAAATCCTGTTAATTAACCCATGGCCTTAGACTTCCAAACACCAAAACAAATATTGAATTTTAAAGAGATATTTAAAAAATTGTTTGCATTTTTCGTTCAATGAATCGATGAGTGACGAAAAAACGTGCCAAAGTTTTAAAAATGCCTAAGAAATATTAAAAAAAAATGCCTACGGAAATTAATTTTTCTTTGAATTAGAAGACTTTTTAGGCCATTATTTTTTTTTCTTTTAAATTGTGTTTTTCGGGGTTTTTTTTAAGTCTTTGATGGTACCTAGAAGAAACTTAATATACTTTTTGGGTTGGTGGACCATCAGGAAACCCAGTTAATTAAACAAATTAGAAATGACGGAAGATGAAATAATTGGATTTTTTTTACCTTTGGTGTTAGTTTTTTTCCTTTATTTTATTTTTATTTGAGGCAAATACGCGCGACCTTTTTTTTATTTTTGTTTTTGAAATTCTGAGTTATTTATTGGTGATAAAATCATAAAATGTTTTAGTTTAAACTTTAATTGAAAAGTAAAAAAAATTGGCTTATGGAAAAAAATTGCATTTTGAAAGATTATTTAATTTGATTTTAATATGCATACGTTTCGCATCTGAAAGACATAGAAAGGGTCAGAATTTACATTTTTGAAAAACAAATTAAATTACGTACGATTTTAAAGAAAACAAATCATTATTTCGCATACAAAAATCGTTTGAAGCGTTGAAACGGAATACTGTTTTTAAACTTAAAGAAAACTTAAGCAAATAAATTTTACTTGCACCGAACACATTGATGTGGTTACCGTTACTGGTACTTAGAGAGTTCATATTTTGTTGAAAAATAATTATGTTTTGTGTTGTGAAATAAATGCAAACAAAATAATTTGTAATAAATCTTATACGTTAACGGTTATCTGTTAAAAATTTCATTAAGTAAATTTTGCAAAAGAAAAAAAATCAGAATTTTTTTTTTCAAATAAAAACAATGAAGCACAATTATGCAATAAAAACACGTCGTTAAAAAATTCGAAGAAATAGAAAAAAAAATGGAATTTTTTCATAAATCTAACCGCGACAAAAACCCGAAAGTCACCTTTAGGATACTGTTCAGTAACAATTACAGGCATTTCTAATATTTTTGCTGCTTTTAACATTCTCGATGATACTTCCACAATCTGTGAAAAATACTGTATTGAAGGTCTGAATTTTTCCTGCATGTCACACAGGAATAACATAGAATTATTTAAGATTAATTTGCCTAACTTTCCGCAAGCCATTTTAAAAAAAAAATAAGTTTCAGTGGTTACCTCCCTTGTGCAATTTTTCAAATTACGTCAACAATGAGTTACTTGTGGCAAAAAAAAATAATCAAGTGCCCGGTGTGATTCGCGCTCACTACTCAGTCATAATTGACCTAATGAAAAAAGTTTGCTAACTATACACCATGCTTAAGTGCTCTTATAACTTAGATGTGGCATAAGCAGTGGTGGGCCCCAGTGGCATTTTTTGTGGGTGAAAAAAAAATTGAAAACGCGATCATTCATTTTTTAATGGTGTTTCAAAAATAAAATCTAATATTTTTTTTTAAACATTCATTCCTTTTTGTTTGGAAGATCAGAAACACATGACATGCCGCCTTGTTGACGACCTCAGCTTTTAATAAGCTCGGGCAACTTTGAGATGCCGGTACTTTGAACTGGCCCTGCTGTGAGCGACCTCTTGCTGAGACTACAAGACCACACCAAGACATTCCAATAGACATCCCCACTATATTGTATATTTTGTACAACTATCCCCATCATGTTTTGTATTGTGATAATCGACCTAAATAAATTTTGGATTGTTTTAAAATTATTTTTAATAAAAATAAAATGTCCGAAGATTTTTGTTTTTTTTCAATGATTTCAAAATCAATTGTGAATATGCTGAAATGTTAATGATTGGTATTTTATTCATTAATAATTTAATTTTATAATGAATAGCTTCTTTGATTTTTTTTTTAACCTTGAGAAAATACTTTTTATCACTTAAGACTAAGAGGATTTCAACAACGTTTGCTCATTTGAATAAAAAAATCCAATCGCTAATTTTTACGTTTCTAGAAAGATCAAAAACGAGAAGACCACATAAAAAAGAATTAAATTTACAACATGAACACCTGAAAAAGTTATTTGAAAATTTTAATGTTGTTTAAAAAAAACAAACTCAAAAAAGTATTTTTATACCGTGTTTTTTTTTCTAGTGGAGTTTTAAAAACAATTTTTTATTTTTTTATTTTTATTTTTTTTTTATTTGGGTTGATCTAAAACCAAAATTTCCACTGATGCAATTTTTATCTACATTTTATTCACTTAAAAGTTTTACAGTGAATTTTGAAAGCCTTCAAACCCTTCTGCCTAAGATGAAATATTTGTAATTAAATAAAGATTTATTTAATCTATCTAAAAATGTAAAACTTCCCAATGTAGGATAGCATATTTTCCGAGATTTTATTTAAAAAAAATATTTACGAACGATTTTTTGTTCAGACTAAAAGTTGCTTGAAGAAATAAAGAAAAGTCGCCTTTTTGTGGAGGTTGGGCTAATTGATTAAATTATATGGATCAATAATTGTTGAGTAAATAGGCTGCGTGGTGAAGTTAACAATTTCCTCTCACATTAAAATTTCAGTATTCAACAAACAAAGAATAAGAAGAAACATGAAAAACAACAGTTTTACTTTTGCACAACAATGAATAAAATAACCAAGAGGTACAAACAACTGGAGTAAAGAGGTAGTTTTAAAAAGTTCAAACGTCCTTTTATGTTTAGATTGAAGTGTTATCAAAGTTCTGGTTTGATAGATTATAAGTTGTTGAACGGTCTGTGCAATAATGAGAACATGTGTTTGGGTATTATTGTAACTTAAGGAAAAATAAACAGTTCAAGTTTGTACTTAAGTAGAGAAGTAGTGTTCACAAATTTAATGTTTACGAAGTTGTCACTCTTTGACTTGTTTTCATTTGTCGTTTGAAGAGAATATTCTGTAGTTGAAGTAAGTGATTCTTAACAAGCTGTGTTTATGTTAATTGCAATAATTAACGTTGGGCGTATGACAAAGATTCGTGTCTCAAGCTGAATGTGGAAAACTTGAGTTGATTGTTCGTTATAAAATATTCCTGTGTTAGTGAGTGTTCTTTTCAGGCTGAAATCATTAAGGAACTTTAACGTAAAGCCTGGAAATGTGTGACGAGTTCAAAGGATTAATGACATTTCATATTTATTGCTAATTTTGGTCACGTGGTAAACTCACAGGGGATTGACAGATTTTTAGGCCTAATTATTTTGTGGTCAGGTCAATAACTAGGTCGATGTTATTCGAACATGACTTAAATCATGACCAATCAGAAATTGAGATTTTCTTAAAATATGTATTAAGCTGAATAAGCTCTGTGATCCACTTTTTTGCACAGAAATCGACATTTATATTCGGATATGATTTAAATATTAAGTGACCAATCAGATGTTGAGGTTTTCTGAAAATATGTATTAAGCCGAATAAGCTCTGTTATCTACTTTTTGCACAGATTTGTACAAAAATTGATATTGATAAAAAAGGTGGTAGCGGGATGATAAAAAGTCTTAAGATTTTTAAGATTATAATTTTAAAAATTATCATTATGGAGAAATAAAATTGATCATTTTTTTAAGTTGCGCTCCTTAATTTATATTTTTCTCTTATAGTCCATGAAATTTGAAAATATTTGCATTATTATTATGTTTAATTAATAATTTGATTAATTGAAATTTCGGATTTTTTTTTTTTTATATCACGGGATACTGAGATTTAAGAGCAAAATCATTGAATCAAAATAAGGATTATAGTTTATTTTGGGTTTTAAGAAATATTTGGGTTTTATTGCTCTAATGATGTTTATAGTTTACCCGTGTCTGTGGTGCCAATCCTGGAACAGACTACCATATACACTCAGAGTACCTACACACAGCATTGAACTCACCAGTTATCCTTTGTAAAAACCTGTTAACTTCAAAACGTAGGTTTAATTCATTTTTTTTTAATTCAATCATTGAAACATTTAGAACAAAACATCCTTCATTTAAATTTAAAAATCAGGAAGAAGCTGTTTTAACGGTCCCTGCACAATAACGACCACCTCGTTATTTTTTTTCTCAACATAACTGCTAAGACGTTATGAAAGAAGTCCAAGCTATTTATTCATAAAAAAACAACAGTTTACTTATTTGGTTATCTTCAAAATATGCAATCCCAAAATTGAAATTTTTCAGCTTGTTTTTTTAAGGAATGCTCTCTTCATAGTAGCATCAGGAGTCAGCCTCATATGCGCTTTTGAACTGTTTTTTTTTTATTTCAATTTTTTTTCGCGAAATTCTGAAATAATGTTTGATTTATTTTCAATTCATTGTTAAAAAGAAGTTCATTGATACATATTTATTGAAAAATACCCAAATTATTTATTGTAAAGGAAAATTATTTAAGAATTCAGAGAAAAACAAGGTTATTTTCCCGAAAAAAAAAAAAAAAAAACAGATCAAAAGAGCGTACGAGGCTGACTCCTGCTGCTAATTTGAAGGCATCATTCCTTAAAAAAAAAAAAAGGCTGAAAAATTCAGGAGTGTGTATCTTGAAGATAACCAATAATTTACCTTTTTATTGGAAAACGTTGATATAAAACATTGGATCAGTTGAAAAATCACCCCAGACTGATCAACTGTAAAATCTCTACATCAACTTACTGTAGCATCTCCTCCTTAACTGATCAACTGTAGAGTGTAGATCTTTGAAATTTGTTAAAAATGAATGTTATTTTTTTCTTTTCAATTGGTTCTTTTCGTAGAAAAAGATTGGAGATTTTTTTAAATAAAGAAAAACATTCGTAGTAAAGTGGAACCAGAAATATACCCGATTTAAAGTTTGTTTACATTTCGAAAGTTTTTACTAAACTTGCAATTTTTAAAGCTCAAAAATTGTATATATATCACGCGCTTCAAAGATTTCAATAGATTTTCCATAAAATCACTATATTATTATGTGAAAATAACAACATTGTACATTAAATTTTAAATTTTTTAGAGATTTTTAAACTAAACATTTTCAGAAAAATCAAATTTAGTCCATATTACAATATATTACATATTTTTATATTAGTATTACAAACTAAGAATCTTAAATTTGTAACATAAAAAAGGTAAATTTATTTAGATGTAAAATTTTCAAATATTACACTTTAAGTTCTTCCGGAACGATTTTTAAAATATTTTTAAATATTCTTTTAGGATCAACTGTAGAATCTCCCCACCCAAGCACGCCTAGGGAAAAGAGATTCATTGAGTAGCAGAAACACAAAAAAGTTTAAAGATTTGTTTCTCTAAAAAAACAAAAACAAAGTTAAGTCAGAAGTGTAATTATTTATTGTCAATATTAAATAATTACACTTCTGATTATTGACTTTTAATGTTATTGTTAATTGTTTTAAAAAAACTTTATTTTAAAACACGAATATTTTTAAATAACCGGCTGAGCTGATGGAAATAAATAAAAATTGTTATTAAATATTTCTGTCAAGGAATCAGCAAGTAGTTCCAGAGAAAACCAGTCAAGAGTGCTGAGCATAAAAAAAATAATAAAAAACAGGGCTTACCAGGCATACCACACCTCAAATGGAGTAAGGGCGAATTCCAGAGGAGCCCTCCAGAACCACCACCGTCCCTGGAAATTGAAGTCTCATTAATACCTGAGTCGCACGCCAAATTTGGACGAATCCTGAATGATAGGGCTTATCACCGGACACACCGTATTCTCGCTGTCGCAGACACCGGTGCCGAGACGTGTTCAAGTGGTCCGGAAATTCTAAAAGTATTGGGATGCAACAACAACATTTTCATTAACTAGGCATACGTGGGATCACGGACGACCAACTAAGGATTAAAAAAAGTATAATCTTTATGCGAATCAGGGTTGACCCTAAAGAAACCAGACAGGTTGTTTATGTGTGTCAGAGAACACATCAGGGTTTTACCTATCTGAGTCGGCGTTGAAAGTCTTAGAACTGATTCCCAATAATTTTCCGAGTCAAATATCGAAAGCCAACAGTTTGACTACGGATGGCGAGAAGGCACCGTGTAGGTGCCCCTG